ATACCTATTCAAATATATAGTTTACTGCGAGAACGTGATAATGACACTGCGACGTCACCTGACGTTAGCCCTTTGTATCGCTCTGTTTTGCGCGATAGAAGTGAGTTGGCGTTATAAAAACAAAATATGTCGAAAAAAGTCGAGTTTTTTTACGCGTGTGTGCGCAATTTTTATAGTGGACTTACGGTGCCAAGTTGAAGAAACAGCAGGAGACGACGATGATGAAGTTCGTCAAGTTACTGTTCTATAGGCTGATTTACGGTTTCGCCAACATGATCGGCTTGGGAGACGCGGCCGAAGAATTCGGTGACGGGATGCTGGCTCCTCCGGATTACCGACAAGAAGACACAGAGGACGACTACTACGACGACGACAACAACGATGATTATTACAGTAATTACGAAGCATATTAATGCCGAGACCGAATAAACGAACCCACCACTATATATATATACCTACGCTTATTATCACATATTTTATAAAAAATATTATAGTTATAATAATGTGTCTGATTAATACTATAATTACCTATACTAAACTCATCTGTTCGCGTCGAGTTGACCCACTTTTGCGCATGCCTTTATACTGAGTCTACAACCGTGAAAACGACAATGTATAATCTGCCGTCATATATTAAGCTACTGTAAGCAGTAAATCCATTTTTTTTGGCGGAATCGATTTTTCATTTGATGGTGTCTATCGATACCTATTTTAATAATATTCTCTATTGATTTCTCATTAGAAATTCATGCAAAAAGACAAAAGTTTACTGAGAAGGCCTTRTGATGCAGTATAAATGGTTTTACTGTTTCCTGAAAAACTATGTTTTTTGGAGTTAGRTATATTACTTTTGAAGTGGCTTTTGACGGCTGAACATACGCATGTCTCTCTATATTGGTTCCTTGGGCGGAAATCCATTGAAATTTCTGAGATACTTAATTTATTTAAACACAAATTATACCTAAACAAAGTTTGTACAAGCAATATGAAAGACAGAAATCCGGTGAGATAAGCCTCACTTTCCAAGTTCGAAACTTGTGCCCTCGTGGTGTCGRCTCGAATACWGAGTAAGGCTTGTCGCTATATATACCATCTAAATTACCCAGCTTCACCCGAGTGTCAAGTGATGAATATTTATTTATACAAAACATTTAATATTTTTACTATTTTCAAAATTAGATTTACGCTCAAAA